TAATTGACATTTTGAGTTCTTAACTTTTTGTTTTCAGCTATTAGTATAGCAGCACTGTGTATTATTATTTGACATTCCTTGATCAGCTGATTTAGGGTATGATTAATTGAATTGAGTGAGCTCTGCATATGATGCTTGATATATTCTTTAACTTTCTCAGCTTGCTGCTCCAATTAATATATATTATATAGTGTGACTGTTATCTAAAAGGCATAAAAGTTGTAGAAGATCTTTGAGAAAGTGAGAATATGCATCATGATATTAAGTCATAAAAGAATCTACTCAGAATCATATGAAATCAACTCAGCAGCTCTAAAGCTACTTTTGATGTTACTCTCAATCAGAGTCTTCATTTGAGCTGCAGAATAGAGACTCAGAAACTACTTCTTGTCAATATGATTAGTCTCAAACTATATGTAATTTTCTACTTACTATTTATAAGCAGTTTTTAGAAGTAAGAAGCAGCTAATATTCAATGACTGAAGAAGATAGAAGAAATGTGATAGCATATAGAGGACAATGATCTAATTCTCAGTGTAAAATTAATCAAATTCAGCTGAGGTATGACTTCAGTACTAGTTTAGAATCAACAGTCAATATCTGCTCTTCATATAGAGTAGAATCTTCTTATTGAACATCTCTTTCAATCAGTACAAGCTCAGCTAATCAGTGGTCCAGTCATTCTTATTGACTTCAATCACTCAGTTTTGTGGTAGTTCTTCTGTCTCATATTAGTAAAATTAATATATTTTTCCTTTGAGAATAATCATTGTACATAAGACTCAGCCAGTTACATTGACTTCAGTAATAACAGTCATTTATTTCTGATCTTCAGACTATACAAACTTGAGATTCTCAGCTCTTTTCAAATTCATTAATCACTCTGACAGTCTCAATTACACTCATTTAAAACTTTGTCTCATCAAAGTTATATATATCATCTTTCAAAATCTCATACTTTATAATAGTATTTTATACAAGTCTAAATCACTCACAAATAATCTCAGAATCTTTATATAGAGCTTATTAATAATTATAATTATATAAGAATTTGAATTTCAGCTCATCATAATGCTTGACAAATATTTATACTCAGCATTCACTCACTATGAGTGAGGAATTGAATTCTTGACTGATAAGAAGAAAATTAATCATTTTTCATACAGCTGTAACTCAGAAAGACTAATCTCACTCATTCATGATTAGAATTCATTAAACAAGAGATTCTTTCTCTATAAGACTAAGTTTTCAGTTCTTTGAAAATATGTTAATACATGTCATATGATCATGTATATATATATATGATAAGTTAAAATTTTATAAAAGATTTCATATAACTTTGCTGTAGCTCATATACTTAAAATTTGATATTCTTTAAGTGTTTGAATGACTAAAAGAAGCCTTTCTTCCTGAGTAGAAACTTTATTTTCTTATGTAATTGATATTTTTAATGTAGAGTATTTCTCATTGTATAAAGAGTAAGATATGATTCACTTATTTATATGATTTACTCACTTATTAATTATATTAAATTATTATTATTAACTTTATTACTAATTTTTTAAACATAATTTACCTAAACAAAATCTATAATACAACTTTAGTTTTAATTAATATTTTAATTAAATATATTTTATATATTTTATATATAAAAGATATTATTGTAGAAGGTATTTTAGCTATTATATTTACTTATACTTATAGTATTTTTAAAATTTTTAAAAATTATATTTTAGATAGAAAAACTTCTTTTACAAATTAATACTAATTAACTCTATATTATTTATTTGAAGTTAAATAAAAGCTATTTATAATTTTTTATTAACAAATAAATAATTAAACTAAATATTAAAATTAAATACTAAAGTATTATTTTTAATATTTTATAAATTTTTATTAAAATAGTTGAGTTATATAACTGTCTTCAATACAATTTATATAATAATAGAGAATAAACTTTATTCATATTACTTGACAATGTATGATCACTGAGTTGAAAAAGGTAATCATAACTATTTAATAATAGTATAATAATAATTTTATAATTACGCTATAAATAAATATATTGTAAATATAAATATTATTTAATAATAATCTAATAATCATATTTTAAAAAGAAGTAATTATATTAAAAAAAAAAATTATAAAAATAAAGTCTTCTTTAAATCTATTTTTTAAAAATTATCTTGATATTTTATTAATATTGTTTATATAGTTGACAATTAAATATATATTTATTTGTATATCTCAATTGAACTATAGTAGTTTATTTATAATACTTTATAACATATTTAATTAATGAAGTTTTAGCTTATATACTTTTTAACTATAGATTTATTCTCTAAATCAATATCAATATTTTATCATATTCAAGCTTAATTGAGATAATTAACTAAGTTAAAAAAATTGATTAATATAAAAAAAAAATTAAAAATAATTGAAGAAGATTAATACTACACAAATTATATATTATAACTTTATATATAATATAAAATACTTTCATATGAGAGATTGAAAACTTTTCAATAAAAAAATTTTTTATATGCTCTGTTTATTAAAAAATTAAATTATAAATTTATTAATTCTTTTTAAATAATTAAATTTTAAAATATATAATATATAAACTTTTTTTATAATATTTATTATATAATATTTATTCTATTTTTTATATTCTACTACTTGAACTTCTTAAAATTAAATATAATACTACTTTATCTTTAGCATTAAAACTAGTAAATAATAAAAAAAAATTTTTAATTGAGAAGATATAAAAGAAAAAAAAAAACTAAAATAAAAAATAATACTATATATACTGAAATATTTATAAATTTTCTAATAATATATAAAAATCTCTTAAAAATATTTAAAATATTAAAATATTTAATATTTTTAAATATTAAAAATTATAGTAATAAATATATTAAATTTAATTTTAAAAATATACTAAGTATTAATTCTCTATTTATATATATATATATTTTTTTTACTCTATTTTTTTTCAAATAAGTTTTTTGATTATATGGTTTTAATAAGGCAAATAAGATATTAAAAATCCTTAAATTATCAAAAAATCGTTTTATTATCATATGAATTAAAAGAATAAATCAAGGTATTTAAGTATATATTTATAATTCTCTTTAATTTAATCTATATTTACAATTATCATAGTTATTATATACTCAATAGCTTTAAACATAGCAATTCTTATTATTTCAAACTTAATACTTTTCTCTTTAATCAATTTAAAATTTTTTATCTTCTATATAACTTTTTTTCATATATTCTCTCACTTTTTATTCTTAAAAATACAATCAATATATTAGCAATCTTACTCTAATACTAAGTATAATAAGTAGTATTAATTAAAATAGTGATATAAGCTTTTACTGAATAAATAGCAAAGAAGAAATCTATCAATACTACTATTAATTATTGTAAAGTTATAATGAAAAAAAAAAAAATTAAAAGAGTAAAAGATATCTATTATAACTCAATTTAAATTAGAATAATAATAAAATAAAAGCTATAATTTATTTATTTAACTAAAT